AACATACTTTGGACATGTTGCAAGGAGGGACAGGTCCTTGGAGAGGGACATCATGCTTGGTAGGGTGGAGGGACAGCGCAGGAGGGGAAGGCCCCCTATGAGTTGGATTGATTCAATGACTGGGGTAATCGGGATGGGTGTGTCGGAGACGGTGCGATTGGCACAGGACAGAGCAGAGTTTAGGGCTGTTGCACATAGGGTCGCTATGAGTCGCAAGTGGCTCGATGGCATATAACAACAACAACAACTGTGATTAACAGGTTAATTAACACATGGTGAGTTCTCTCTACCCTTCTGCATTATTAAGAGTACAAAGATTTTCGTTAGCATAGTTTTCTCATTTGTCCTAGTCTGGAAATCTCTATAAATTTTCATTAAGATTAATGATAATAATAACATTTAAAAAAAGAAAAAGACTAAATGACACAATACACATTAAAGGCAATAAGATTCTAATAGAATTTTCCAAAGCACCCCTCCATCCTCACAATAGAAAAATGACTATACAAAATCAGAAGCTATAGTAGTTTCATTTAATATATATTTATGTGTCTGTGGAGGATTTCTACATAGATCAAGCTTTTGTAATGAAGATACTTAAAGATATGAGACCCAAAGAAAACAGAAATAGCTATCTGCCTCACATAGCTGTCTAGGGTATGTAGTTAAGGATCCTTCCACAGTGTCAACCAGGGACCGAAGCGTTTTTTCTTTTGTTGATTTTCCATCTTCTATCATTCTCTGTTCGGAGCTTTGATGGCTTAGTGGTAAGGAGTTGTGCTGCCAATCCTAAGGCATGTGTTTGAATCCACCAGCTGTTCTGCATGAATTGTTGTTGTTGTGTACTGCAGAGTCAGAATCGACCCACAGTGACCATCCAGTGGGTTTCCGGGGGCGGTTAATCATGTGGATGGTTGTCCATCCTTTTCCCATGGAGCAGCTTGTGGCCTTGAATCCCTTGTCTTCGGGGTTGCAGCGCAGCTTCTTGCCCCTAGGCCACCAGGAAGGATGTGCAATTCTGCCATGAGATTTACTGCCTCTGAAAACCTGCTGGATTGTCAGCTATGAGCTGTTTCCAACTAGACAGTACATAACATCATCATTCTTTGTAGGAGTCCAGGTGGTTCAATGGTTACGTGCTTGATTGGTAACCAATATGTGAGGTTGGTAGTTCAAACTCACCCAGCAGCTCTGTGGCAAAAAGACTTGGTGATATATTCCCCCAAAGGTTGCAACCTAGAAAATCCTTGAAGTCCTATCATGCCATATGGTGTTGCTTTAAGTTGAAATCAAATCAAGGGCACCTAACAGCAACATTCTCTTTGTCCTGACCTTAATGCTTTCATTACCTCCTTCTGGGAAGAAGAAAGAGAAGCAGAGAACAAGCAAATGTCCTTTTAAAGCAAGATAATATAATACTTCTCATTACATTCTGTTGCTGAGAACTTTAAGCCCATGGCCACACCTGGCCGGAAATGAGGCTGAAATAGCCTGTAATTGGACTGTTTACATGCCCACTTAGGAGAGCTCCGGTGGCTTAGCTGGAAGGAAGCGCACTGACAACACAAATGTGATGATGGTGGTTGTCATTAGTCTTTGATCCTCAGCAGTGCTTCAAGTCCTCCTCACTTTCAGCAAGCAAGGTTGTCCCGTCTTCATAGCACAGGTTGTTGATGAATCTTCCTCCAATTCTGATGCCACATTTCTCCTCATAAAGCCCAGCCTTCTGGATAATTTGGAGGACAATCACCTGGCCAACTGACTGAAATAGATCTATATTTGTTCCCATTCCAAAGAAAGGTGACCCGACAGAGTGTAAAAATTATGGAACAATATCAGTGATATCCCATGCAACCAAAGATTCTGCTAAAGATTATCCAAAAATGACTGGAACAGCACATCAACAGAGAACTGCCTGAAGGGCAGGCCGAGTTTAGAAGAGACGGTGGTACTAGAGATATTATAGCTAATGTTAGATGGATCTTGGCTGAAAGCAGGGAATACCAGAGGAATATCAATGTGTTTCATTGACTATGCAAAGGCATTTCACTATGTAAATCAGAAGAAACTGTAGTTTTCCCTATGCACATCCCAAAACTTCTCCAACAGGGTAAAAAGGGAAGCCATCGACTGGGAAAAAGTATTTGGTAATGACATATCAGACAAAGAAGACATTCAGATGGCTAACAAGCACATGAAGAAATGTTCAAAATCCCTAGCTCTAAGAAAGATGTAAATTAGAACAACTATGAGATATCATCTCACCCCAGTCAGAATAGAAAAATTTAATAGAACAACAGTCAACAAATGCTGGTGAGGTTGTGGAGAAACTGGAACCCTTACTCACTGTTGGTGGGAGTGTAAAATGGTGCAACCACTGTGGAAGGCAGTATGGTGCTTTCTCAAAAAGTTGCAAATAGAGATACCATTTGACCCAGCAATTTCAGTACTGGGAATATACCCCAAAGAGACCATGACTGACATCCAAGCAGATATATTTGCACACCCATGTTTATTGCGGCTTTGTTCACAATAGCCAGGAGTTGGAAACAACCTAAGTGCCCATCAACAAATGTATGGATAGAGAAGCTGTGGTATATTCACACAATGGAATATTATGCTGCATTGAAAAACAAGGAACTCATGCAATATTATTCAAAATGGTTGACTCTGGAGAACATTATGCTGAGTGAAATATCTCCATCACAAAAGGACAAACACTGTATGGTGCCACTGTTGTAAAACAGGACTGACCTCGGGGTTGGGGAGAGACTGAGAAAGATGGGTTCAATAATGTATACTGCATTGAAACAGATGATACTGCATTGAAACAGATGAGGGAGAAAACTGTTTAGAAGGGATATGTGATTAGGTATTTTTGACATAACAGGAGTCTAGAGCGAACGCTACATGGTGGAATGGACTTGGGGGAGGGTTTGTAAAACAATGAAAGAATTTTTCTTTTACTTTTCCAAGAGGGTAGTGTACTAGGGCGGAGGGTTGGGAGGGGAGAAAAGTGTAACAATGAATGAATGGAAATCCAAAGTCTCTGTAAATGTTTACTGAAATTAATAATAAATTTAAATTTAAAAAAAAAAAGAAAAGAAACTGTGGTTGACTCTGAGAAGAATTGGAATCCCAGAACACTTGATTGTGCTTATGGGAAACCTGTACTTGGACCAGGAGGCAGTCATCAGAACACAGCAAGGAACACTGCATGGTTCAAATTTGGGAAGGGTCTATGTGAAGGATGTGTCCTATCTCCGTATCTTTTCAATCTATATGCGGAACAGATTATCCAGGAGGCTGGGCTCTATGAGGAGGAACACATATGTACACAGTTCAAATCACCATTTGCTGCCTCTAAAAACCAACTGGAGAGTTAGCTATTGGGTCAGTTCTGATTTGGTGGTACACACCAGCAACAACATAAACTTACTTAAACATAACTTACACCTACTTAAACTTTGAGTGGTAGTTGTTGTAACTATGTGTCATTGGGTCTGAATCAACTCACAGCTGACCCTCCAGTGGGTTTTCAGAAGTAGGAAATTGTACATCTTTCTTGCTTAGAGCAGCTGGTGGGTTTGAACTGTGTGCTTCTGGATTGGTAACACAACTCCTTATCAAAGGAAGGGAAGAATGTTTAATGTGGGACAGTAATACTCAACACAGAAAATGTTTCCATGTTTTGTATAGTATTTGCTTGGCTTTTTTACGTGTACTGTAGACTATGAATTTCATCCTTGGGTAGTTTTCTGGCTAAAAACTTTCATTTCCCATCTGAACCATCTCAATGTTTAATCTAAATACTTGAATCAGAAACTAATGGGCTTTAAAGAATATAGACACTAAGAATTGGAACTTTTGATAATGTTGTTCACAGGCTACTAAGAACTTTTATTAATGAAAATATTCATTAACGTTTCTAAAGGAGCTTGCTATGTGCTAGAGACTGCTGGCCCAGTGTGCTTTATGGAAAGTCTGGACAAACATTTCTGCAGCAGGTCAGATCATATTCTTAGCTTTAGAGCCACAGTCTGCATTGAAACTACTCTTGTTTAACAGAAAACAGCCACAGACAATGTGTAAATGAATGAGCACAGCTGTGCTCCAAGAAAACTTATTTACAAAGACAGGCTGTGAGCTGGATTTGGCCTCCGGTCATGATTTGCTGACCTCTGCTTTATAAAAAAACAAGGAAAATACAGTTCTTTATTATTTCTTTAACATTCTTCTGTGTGTAGTTAACAGTACGACTAATTTCTTGAGCTCTAAAGCAGAGATTTAAGATTATCTCAGGTATTTTTGTCTTTCCTCACAAGTTGAAATTAT